TAAGTAAATATAAGCATCCAAATGGATTTCATAGCAAAGATTACAGAGTTTTTAAGTAATCATGGTAGGTAAGTCTATTTAATAAAATGTCACTGGCAAGAATATTGCTTATTTTTTTGGAAAATTGTAACTAAATCATTAAAGTTCAGGAATATGTTTTATGTTTCCACTCAAATGAGTGAAATATAGGCAAACTGGACAAGTTTTCAAGGGACACTCCAAGCACTATCACCACTAAATCGCTCTTTAGTGGTTATAGTGTCAGTGGTGCCTGGTGCACCTCTTTTGTAAGTAGTAAACTATTTTAAGGCTGTTTGACTTCATACAAAGCTCATTGGCTGAGACTGTCAGATGATCTCTCTCAGACAATGGACTAAGCTCTGCACTGCCAGATTCCCGCTCTGTGGGTATTTCCATGTTGGACATGAGGGAGGGGGATTAAAACATGGTGGTGTAGGGGGGCGGTGACTCACCATCATAGCTGACAACTGCGTTTAGTGTGAGCTCTTCACACAATTCGAATAATCTATAACTTTAAAGTGAAGTGGCATCCCACAGATCTACCCAAGTGATAGTTAACCTGTCTCTGACAGATGGAGAGCCATTTAGTGCAACTCTGGAGCCACACTTTCTAGCCTACAGCCTGTCAAAGCTACTGAGCTACTAAGAGAAACTGCCAATCTCCCAGCGTGGTCCCACAGGTGTGAAGCATCTGCCCCATATCCCCGCGCCCCCTCCCCAAGACTGGTGGGGGACATCCCGGTCCCCACTGGGGAAAAAGCATCTAGCATTCCTACAGCAAGTCCTCGTGGCACGGGAAAATGGCTGACACGCAGACAGAGTCATTTGTGAAGCAATAGGAGGCTAAGTTCCTAGCCGCCTTCGATGAAATCTGCACAGCTTTCTGGCACAGGGCTGAATCCCGTAAAATACTGCCACAACCCCTTACACCTCCTGAAAATCAGGTGGCCACAGCAGCTGACCCCACAGCCACCTCCAAACCGGAGACCAGTATGGCACAAAGCCCCCATTCACCAGCACCTTCTGCTGCGCAGATGACCCGGCCACATGCTCTTCTTCTGAGCTAGATGCCCTCCACTGCCGTACATGCACCCAGCGAGACAACCGGATTCCAGAAAGTCCCTGGGCCCATGACCCTGATGAAGGGATCAGTGAACATACAATATGGGCTCCCATTAAGGCCTCAGGCCGAAGACCCGCAGTACTACATGCTGTTGGCTGCAGAATATACAACAAAGTCTGTACAGAAGCACTGGAATGAGACTGGGCTTTCCAATAAGACCTGACATGGGGTCTGCCTCTCTATATTGGCTCGCGTGTGGTGTATAATGATCTCTGAGTAATGCCTGGTGGTCTGTCAGTGTCAAATTTCTAGGGCCTGGCTTTAATTGGTTTCATCTTCGTTGTTTTACCTTCATTTTAGTCTTAGATTTTGTTTTGCTACATACAACCTGACAGTTAAAACTCCAACCAGCCATGCTGTATAGTGCCATGAAGCTAACGCTCAATTACTTATTTTTTATAGCCAAGGTACCTGGTGGTCCTCTCCAAGATTTCTTTCCCATCCTTGGACCTAGCATGATGCTATACAATATTAATTTGCCTAAAACAAATGTCAGTTATGTAGCCTGATTTCCTTACTGCTTATACTAATATATCTGCTGCTATATTTTGCATGTCTATGTTTATTTTACAAAACTTTGTGCAGTTTTAATCCATGTCATGATGAAGTGTGCTTTGCATTGCCTGCATTAGCTGTGTTCATGCACACCATACTAGACGAAACGCGTTGGTAATCTAGCAGTTATTTGGTGAAATTCAATGTGATGTATTCCAAATGTTCTTTTATTGAGTATTGCTATTGTTATTTAGATCCTGCTGCACACTTTGTTTTTATTTTGACTTTTACTATTTTTTAGTATTAGTGTTTATTTAGTACGGAAAGCCAAGCATAACAAAGTTCAGTATGGAATTGTTTGGTTTCCAAATCATTTGGATTTTTTCCCTATACCAGTGGTTTGTGAGTGCAATGTACCTAGCACATTTGGGGGTCATTGCCTAAACAGTTCTATTTTTGAGATTCTTTTGTTCCCTTGCTTTACCTCCATATTGTTGCAACATATATATTTGCAAATTCAGGACTGGGAATCCCGGGTGGAGTGAACTATACTTAATGCAGCAAGTGCTGTGTTAAAGGGATACTGTAGTGCCAAGAATACAAAGCTGTTAAAAACCCTTTATTTACTCACCAGATCCCAGCACCGATGTCCCTTGGCGCTGGGTCAAAGCTCCATCCCTTCCTCTGTCCCGTGGTGAAAAAAATAATCTGACGCTGGAGGTCTTCATGCAGAGTCCGTTACAATTCCAGAAGCCATCTAGTGGCTGTATGCAGTGGAGTATTCTGGTTTTGTGCTGCACAAGGCATGACAAAACTCAAACCCCCCCCACCCCTTCCATATTTCTCTTCCTGACAGACACACAACTGATGCATGCACTGACATACACTCACAGATACACAGTCATTGTCACATACATTGTTTAACCAGCACACAATTTCACTGAAGCAACCATTCACAGACATACACACTCACTCATTCACAGTTACACTCACAGTTACACACATACTCACATTCACCAACAGACACACATATACACTAACTGACAGATACGCATTCACCAACAGACACATGCACACTCACTGACAAACATGTATACACTCTCAGTGACAGACACACACTCACTGACACATACACACTCTAACAGACACACACTAACACTTACTAACAAACACAGTAACACTCACTAACAGACACACTAAAACTCTCAGACACACTAACAGACACACACATTTACTAACAGACACACACTTACACTAACAGACACACACTAACACTCACAGACACACACACGCTAACACTCACTAACAGACAAACTAACACACACACACTAACACACTCACTAACAGACAACACTAATACTCACTAACAGACACACACCAACACACACACATTAATACACACACACACACTAACAGAGACACACTCAATAACATATCACACACTAACAAACTCACTAACATACACACTAACACTCACTAACAGACACACAATAACACTCACTAACACACACACCAACACACACACACACTAACACACTCACTAACAGACAACACTAATACTCACTAACAGACACACACCAACACACACACACATTAACACACACACACTAACAGACACACACTCAACAACAGGCAAAGACACAGTAACACACTCACAATAAAAAAAATAAAAAAATAAGTTTCAATCCATCCAGCCTCCTACCTTTGGGAGTGCTGGAGTGGATTTTTCCCTGTGGTCCAATGGGGCTGGCTGCAGCTTGGCGGGCGGTCAGGAGGTTTGGCAGACAGGTGAGCAGTGGAAGCGAGTAGCGAGGGAGCTCTGATCTCCCTGCTCAGCTTCCTTGCATGCCTCTTAGTGATGCAGGGGCCGGTGTGACGTCATATTCTGGCTCCAGCATCACTGCAGTGCGCGCAAGTGAGCTTAACAGGTAGAGCTTAAGGGAGAGTGCTCCCTCACCAGCCACATGGCCAGCCTTGAGGGGGGGCCCTGAAGTGGCTCCTGGACCCCAGGACAAGAGGCTGACAATGGCATTTGCCAGGTCGGTTTGGGGGCGGCTTTTTTGCCACCCCCTGAATGTGCCGCCCAAGCAAGGCCGGCCATAGGGATGTGTGAGCTGTGCGGCTGCACAGGGCGCCATGAAGCAGGCGACGCCCTGCGGCCGACACAGCTCACAAATTGCCAGCTACCCGGGAGGAGGATTTCATTATTCTCCACACGGGATAAGGAAAACAAACAAAAAATCCATTGCGGCGAGTGTGTGTGTGACTATCTGTCTGCCTGTGTGTGGGGGGCTGTCTGCATGTAACGGTGTGTATGTGTGTATTTGTGACACTGTATGTGTGGCTGTATGTACGTAACTGTCCATCTGTACCTGTGTTTGTGTTTGCAATTGTCTGCCTGTAACTCTGTGTGTGTATAATGAATATTTATTTTTAAATCAGTATTAATTTAATAAATACCCTATACAATCACTATACTTCTATACACACACTATACATAGATGACAGAGGAGAGGGGGGTGCTGTGACGATGTTTCACACAGGGTTCCTAAAGGCATAAGGCAGGCCCTGTGCCCAAGGCAAATGCCTTGTCAGCCTTGCGCTGGCTGTATGATTGACAGCAACAGAGGGCAGACTTAGAGGTCACTTTTCATTAGAACTGAGAATAAAATCTACATTGAGTGACCGTTCCCTAGCCATCAATCATCTTTATTTCTATCAATGATCTGTTTTTTTTTATGCTCAGCCATTAGGCATATAATTTGTTTCATGATTCAGCTAAATTCCAACTCAGAGTTTCAGAAATTTGAACAATCACCTGAATGGCCAAAATTCTGACTAATATTTTTTTCATAAATTCAAGGGCTCCAACATATCTAGCAGAGTTGTACAAAAGAGCATGCAAAAGTTTAGTTTGTGTAATATTTCTTTTTTTTTATATTACCTGTGATCATAATCCTTTTTTTTTCTAGGAATTTTTTTTTCTTCTAGAAAATGTTCCGTGCATGATTAATTTCTAAGAATCACTTAAAGCAAAATACTGTAAACTGGTTTTCTGAATAATTTAAGTTGTTCATTTTCATACCAAGGGGATCTTCCAGTGTATAGTTTGAAAATGTGAGGATGTTATGCAAGCAGAAGTTTCAGAGATTCAGTAAATTGTCTATAATCTGACTTACACAATATGTCACTCTGATTAGACTTGTGCATACGTGGTATATTTCACACCCTTTTTTTCCAGTTATACAACACAGGTTTTATAAACCAAAGAAAGATGAGATGAAGGTTGTGCTAGATCCCTCCCCAAATCAGTGGTTGGATAAAACTATAAATACCTGTTCCTACGGTTTGAATGTCCATCAAAGAGTCTGTTTAAAGTACTTGTTGCCAGACTTGACGAACTGTCTATTCTAACATTCTGAAATGCCATTGGGAGAGTTTTATGCACTGACAGAAGTCAGAGGAGCACAAAAAAGAGAGGCACTAATAAGGGAAATAAAAAAAGAGTCACTCATGGTTTCACCTATGGGTACATCAGTCAGCCCCAAAGAAGAGGCGATAAGAGGGACAACCAAGATAACACAGACACCTAACTGTACAAGCAATGAAAAGGAATACCAGCTAATTCAAGTAAAGAACACATGGCGTCGAGTTGAGTGCGGGCAGGAGATACCAAATTCTTGGGGAGAAAATAATTTTGTAGTTTCTCAGGCCAAAATGTAAGTATGTATCTATTTCACAATTGCCACAGATTATTGCCGCAGACATTTAAAATAAAGATTTACTTTTTTTTTTCGACAGACAAAGAAAACCCCATTATATCATGATATGCATGGCATGCCATTGGTCATGAAGGGTTAAACGGATAAGAACGATCATAGCTCAGGCTTCCCCAAACTCCAACCCTCCAGATGTTGCTGAACTACAAATCCCATGACTCTATGAATGAAATAGATAGGCTGAGAATCATGGGAGTTGTAGCTCAGCAACATCTGGAGGGCCGGAGTTTGGGGAAGCCTGGCATAGCTATTAAAAAATGGATCAAGATAGAGCAGTTCAGGTTAAATTTTCCTGTAATTCTTGCACATGAAAACCTAAATTCAACATGCTATTGTTTAGGTGTTCATCTGTAAGTATTACATGATAATTGAACCTGGTCACTTGTGAACATCTTTTTTGGCCCTCAATTATCCCTACAGGCTGGTACAAGAGCTCCATTGGTATGCAATGCATTCCTTCTACTAATATGGAATTAAGAGGGGGTTACAGGTTCTGCGTGCATTCCCATGTTGCCTGCTACATTTTATTGGAGTACAGGTTCAGGTACAATTTCAGACAGCTCATAGATTTTACCTTCAGATGTACAGGTTCTGTGTTAGCCTGTAGCTACGGGTTACATATATATAGTAAGAGTAAGATAATGAAACAGGAATTCATAATAAATCACTGACAAGCCAGTTGAAAGCAAGCTCTGGATGCTTTGCGTTCTGTGTGCAAGTTATATATCTTCAGTGTTGTGGAACTGATAATACTGGATTTTAGGAACTCTGAATGAAATGAAAGAGTTGGTTATTCTACTGGAACGTTTCTATGAGATAGTATCAGTAAGATCACACTTGCATGGCTGTAGATAAATAAAGATGGCATATGGTACAAAGCTAATCAGCCATACTCTCCAGCAATATGGAACCTGGGAAATCACTCTTCAGTTTCCAATGCTTCATTAAGCCAGATGGCCAACATGGTATCACAATGTGAATAACAAAGCTAATTCCCAATATCTGTCCCAAGGATGGGCTGTCCACTCCCGCATCTTTATATGAAGAGCTATTGGGAATAAAGTCTGCTCCATCTGAAGATATCAATCTAGAGGGTACTTTGGTCATGGATCCTAGTAAAGAATATGAATGAATTAAAAATAATGAAAGAAGCAAAATTGCAAGGGAGAATATTAATATTGCAATATAATTTAAGATATTTATTCAAAATTCCAGGTAAAAATTTTCCAATCTCCTTCCTAAATGCTGCATTCCATGACAAATATTTTCTTAATCTTAAAGTATTTATTTATTTTGTTAATATCATTTTTTTATGTTTTGCGTCTTACATCCCTCTTTAGTGTATCTCTTACAAGCCCTTTGTTTGTCTCTTACCCCCTCTTTGTATGTCTCCTACATCTTCCCGAGCCCCATTGTGTGTCTCTTTCTCCCCTACTGGCCCATTTGTGCTTCTCTTCTCCCCCATTCCTTAGCCTCTCTGTATGTCTTCCACTCCCCTGTCCCTTAATAATCTCTTTCACTCCCCTCCCCGTCCCTTAATAATATCTTTCCTCTCCTCTTGTCCCTTACTGCTCTCTCCTCTTGTCCCTTACTGCTCTCCCCTCCTGTCCCTTAGAGATCTCTCCTCCTGCCCCCCATCCCTTGGTGCTCCTCCCTGTCACTTAGTTCTCTCTTCTACCCCCTGTCCTTTAGAGCTCTCCCTCCTGTCCCTTATAGCTATCACCTGCCACTTAGTGGTCTCTCCTCTCCCACACCCCATTAGCGGTCTCTCCTCTCCCCTCATTAGCAGTCTCTGCTCTACTCTGACCCCACTCACCTAGTGGTCTCTCCTCTCCCCCCTTCCCCTGGTGGTCTCTCCTCTCCTCTCTCCCCCTCCAGGTGGTCTCTCCTCCCCCACCCCACTGGTGGTCTCTCCTCTCCCCCAGATGGTCTCCCCCCCTCCCCTGGTGGTCTTTCCTCTCTCCCCCCAAGTGGTATCTCCTACCCCCCTTCCCTCCCAGGTGTGCCTCCTACACCTAGTGTAGCGTGGCCAAGATCCACTCTGGTACGCAGGAGTTATAGATTCATATACTAAGAATATCATCTGTATAATATGTATATATAATCTTTTTTTTTTTATATTCTTTATTTATTCCAGAACAGGACATCTTATACATATCACACATAACCATTTTACAAACAATTACACGTAGACATATACACCGTATTTTTGGCTTTTAACATCGGCAACATGAATGCATATTGTAATTTGTACAACTTTTTTTTTGTGGTCATAAAACACGTTTTAGCTTGTATTTCCTTATGTGTTAGATCACTTCTTTGATTGTCTCAGGATATCTCGCTTGTTTTTTTTTGTAGTATATAAAAACATGCAAGTATCGTGTAGATGTTTACACATAGAACCATTAAGGGTACTGTGTGTATATATATATATATATATATATATATATATATATATATATGCCTGCCTCTCTAGCTTTACTGCGACCCTTTCGTCTCCCTGTCATGCACGATCTTACATTTATATAAAGAAGAAAATATAGTTCGATAGATTGGAATCAGAAAAAGGAAAGCATCCTCAAAGATCTGAGGAGAGGGGGAAAGATAGTTTGAGATAGACTTGGGGGGTGGGAGGAAAGGTGGGATGGAGGAGGGTTGGGGGGCAGGATCGAGTAGTCTTTGCTGGGTTTGGGCAATAAGACTATGTTCGCCAGCAACATGTCTCGATATGGGAACCCCCCTTCCAGAATCGAACCACAATTCAAGGTGGGGCAGGAGCTCCTCTCTAAATATTTTGTAATAGCTGCCATCAAAGCCATCCCAGCCAGGTGCTTTATTGCTTTTCAAGGCTGAAATTGCTGCATCTATTTCCTCTGCTGTGATCTGAGTACCGAGGGCTGCCGCTTCCGCCTTACCTAGTTTAGGGAGATGTATCTGAGAGAGGAATTCTTGTACCTCATCCATTTCCTGTTGTGGGTTCGTGTCCGCGCCTGTCGAGTGGTTATATAGTTTGGTGTAATAATCTGTAAACACTTTAGCGATCTCCGTAGGGTTCGTCTGATAGACTCCCCTAATTTTTTTGATCTTTGTGATATGTGTGTTCCGTGGTCTAAGAGATTGTGCAAACAAGGTGTCCATTTTGTTGGCCTTTTCATAGAAGATCCGCTTTGACCACACCATGGCTCTCGCTGTGTCATCAAGAAGCGCGGCATGGATAGGAATCCTTATGTCCTGCACCGCCTTCAGATTGGTAGGCGTAGGATCCGACTTATGCGGTTGTTCTGCCGTTCGTAAGGCTTCTAATTGGGATGCCAGTAGTTGAGATTTTCGATGCTTCTTTAGTGTCGCATCTCTGATCAATATGTCTCTGATGACTGACCTATGCGCCACCCACACTGTAGCTTTCGAAACCCTGTATTCGGCCTCCCTAACAAATAGTTAGGGAGGCGAATAGTCTCGACAATTTCCGGATCCTGAAGTAGCGAATTATTTAACCGCCATGCCCTGGGCGTCATTGCGCTCAGTTTATCTAAAGTGATAGAGATTTCAGCATGATCCGACCAAGTTATAGGTCCCACAGTGGACTCTGAGACCCTGGGGACTGTTGTGGAGTTTACCAGAAATAGGCCTATTCTGGAGTATGTGTCGTGTGGTGGCGAATAGAATGTATAATCGATCACATCCGGATGTTGAGCTCTCCAGATATCTATAAGGCCTGACTGTTGTATAAATATGTGCAGAGTTTGTCCTGTCCACCTCTTCTGTGTGACCAAGGGGCACCTCTGCAGGGCCCCCTATCTGCTGCAGGGGACGGGGCCGCGTTGAAATCACCTCCCACTATCACCATACCATGCGGGAGTGCATTGACAGTGCGTGTGAGGTCCTGCCAGAATTCCCTGGATGGGCCATTAGGGGCGTACAGATTGAGAATGTGAATTGTGTGCGAGTAGAGGGTTCCTGATACCAGTACAAAGCACCCCCCCCCGGGTCTATGCTAGCCCCGCTGACCCTTATCAGGCATCTACGGTGTATTAGGATGGCAACTCCATTCCTCTAATTGAAGGCTCGTGCCTCGTATGTGGTGCTATAGGTGTAGTCTTTGAGGGCTAAACCCACAGTATAGCAAAACCGGATACTCTTCTGAATCAGATGTAATATCTAGGCAGTGTAAACAAATAAACAGGCAGGAGCCCAAATTGAATAGTATCAAACACAGTATTTATTTAAACAAAAGGTTAAAAACTCTTACTTCAAGTAGTGGGTTTGCCAGCAATAAACCCACAACTAGATAAGCAGGAATTTACACACAGAAAATGATACAGCTTGACAATTCCTGGTTCCGGTCACGTGACCGCTGGGACCGCCTCTCTCTGATGTCACACGTGACGTGTTTCGCCCACCTCCTGGCCTTCTTCTGACAGGGCTTCTCTCTGATGTCTCATGTGACGCGTTTCGCCCGCCTCCTGGGATTCTTTCCAGATAGTTACATTTAAACCATGCCGCGAAGAGTGATCCCGGCATCCCCTCCCGTGGACACCAATTCACAACATATACATACATGTGAACCAGAATTTACAGTGAAACACCTAACAGGATAACATACTTTGCGGGATATGGGAAGGGAGCAGTCTGGATCATCTTTTACCTCCCTAGCCCCCTATTAAGGGCTCCCCCTTCTCACTCCAATGCCATAGGAGGTACAGTGTAATGCCCTGGGATCCCCAATTCCTCCCAATCCCTTAAAGCTTGTCTCTCAAGATAGACATCACCGCATCGCATCCCTAGCCCGCCCAACATGGGCCCACGCACTTAGAGCCACCCGATGGGCCCAATGTCTTCAGAGGTCTGGTCAGCGCTGTGGCCGCGTAATAGCGAGAGCGGGCCCCTTTAAAAAAAAAAAAGCAGCCGCAGCAAGTGCTGCTGGGAGGAAGTGGTCACTTCCTCCCAGCTCACTCCGCATGGGAGGACCGCAAGCCAGGCAGTGAGGGAGAGCCGTGCTGAATCTCCAGTCCCATCAGCCCCAGCCACCCTCCTGCAAAGAAAAGGTAAGAGACAGAAGGGTGGCTGGAAAATGAGCTGTGTGTGTGTATGTCGGTCTGTATGTATGTCTGTATGCATGCATGTTTGTATGTCTGTCTGTATGTATGTCTATGTATGTATGTATGTCTGAATGCATGTATGTCTATGTATGTATATATGTATATCTGTATGTCATTATAATTGTATGTCTGTCAGTATGTATGTTATGTATGTCATTATGAATTTATGTCTGTATGTATGCATGTATCAATGTATGTCATTATGTATGTCTGTATATATGTATATATGTCTGTCAGTATGTCTGTATGTATGTATATATGTATGTCTGTATGCAAGTATCAATGTATGTATGTATGTCTGTCAGTATGTATGTCTGTATGTCATTATGTATGTATATCTGTATGTCAGTATAAATGTATGTTTGCATATCATTATGAACATGTGTATGGATGTCTGTATGCATGTATGTCTGTCTGTATGACTGTATATATGCATGTATGTCAGTCTGAATGTATGTATGTCAGTTAGTCTGTATATATGCATGTATGTCAGTCTGAATGTACGTATGTATGCCATTATGAATGTATGTCTGTATGGATGTCAGTGTCTGTATGTCTGTCAGTATGTCTGTATGTATGAATGTATGTATGTGTATATGTATGTATGTATGTGTTTTTATGTCCTCATGCATGTGTGTCTGTCTGTATGTTAGTATGTGTCTGTCTGTCACTATGCATGCCTGTGTGTCTATATATGTGTGTATGTCTCAGTATGTGTGTGTCAGTATGTATGCCTGTATGCGTGTATGTCTGTTTCAGTATGTGTGTCTGTTAGTATGTATCTGTGTCCTTTTGTATAAGTGTGTGTGTTTGTGTCTGTGTGTGTATTCCTGTGGGCGGTATTTGGAGGCGGACCCTGTGGGCGGTATTTGGAGGCGGGCACCAGGGGGCCCAGACCCTGAGCTGAGTTAGGGGCCCCAAAATTTCTGGTGGCGGCCCTGCCTGGACCTCCCCTCCCGTGTGAACCCGGGGTCGACCCAGCGGTCTCCCTTAGTCGTCCCCAATGAACCCGTCTTGTAAGGCTTCTGCCGAGTGGGACCGGGCCCCAAAACCAGCCCTCCCAAAACCTTTTAACATACCCGCCCTTGCAGCTGCTTCATTCAGCGTCGCTTCGCCGCCAGTTGCAGGTAACCTCGGGTAGTCCACCTCCATGAGCCTCATTCTCCCGTCGTGTACCACTCACGCGGGAGGGTTTGGAGTTCCTCTAACGTCGGGGAAAGCGCCGCCATCTCGATGGGGTCCTGGATCCCTAGGCCCCGCAGGAACTCCGCAGGGTCACCATCTGCGTGCAGGGTTTTAGTGCGCCCATTTTGGAATGCGAGTAGCCGAAAAGGGAAGCCCCACGCATACCTCACTCCATGTTTCTGTAAGAATTCCAGCACCGGTCGCCACAATCTCCATTTCTGCAGGGTCGCAGGTGTTAAATCTTGGAACAACGTAAGTTCTACTTCTCCATATTTAATCAGGCCCTCTCTGCTTCGTTTCATGAGGGCTTCCTTAGTTTGGAAATATAGAAACTTAATGATGATGTCTCTTGGGCGCTTGTCTTCTGTCCGTTTCTGTCATAGCGCCCTGTGAGCCCTCTCAATGTGCCACTGGTGGTCAGGCACCACAGGGACCAGCGGCTTTAAAACTGCAGTCACCACTTCCGTAAGGGACCCTTCTCCCTCCTGCTAGGGTAATATTATTTCGGCGGGATCTGTTGCCCATATCATCCAGGGTGGTCTCCACCACCTTCAGTCTAGCGGACAATCTATTTATATGAGCTCTAGCAGTGTTGTGGGCCACTACTGTGGACTCCACCCGCTGTTTGAGCACTTCTGTCCTCACACCCAAAGCCTTGATCGCTGCCTTCACTTCACTTGGTGTTGCGTGCAATCTCGGTAGCCAGGTAGCAACGTACCTCTGCCAAATTTTGTATATATGATCTTAAGCGCTGCTTACCTCCTGTCTGTTACCTTTACTATCCTCTTCACAAAGGTGGAGAGAACCCCTTGTTGGTGATTTGCTTCTAATTATAGATAGTGCGCACTTATACTTACCAGTTTTTCCATATCATGCCGTGGTTAGTATCTACCAACAGTGGTACGTGGCAGGACAACCGGTGAACCACTGTCCAAGGTTCATTGATGCATGTGGGGAGTGAAGGCATGCCTATCTGGTCTGATCACACATAAGAGCTACTGTACCTCAAATTGCTGAAAAAAGTAATATTGGCCATGACAGAATGGTGTCAGAACACACATTGCATCACAGTTTCGTCCACCACTGAAAGCATCTTCAATGGAGATGTGAACATCAGAACTGGACCATGGAGCAATGATAGAAGGTTGTCTGGTCTGATGAATTACGTTTCCTTTTAGATCAGGTGGATGGTCGGGTGTGTGAGTGCGTTTTACCTAGGGAAGAGATGGAATCAGCAAGGATGTACTTATGGGAAGAAGGCAGGGTGGTGGAGGCAGTGTTATGCTCAGTGGGCTGCTTGGAAGCCTTGGGTCCTAGCATTCATGTGAATGCTACTTTGACATGTACAACCTGCCTAGAGTTTGTGACAGATCACGTACACCCCTTCATGGCAGTGGTGCTCCCTGATGGAAGGGGCATCTTTCAGCAGAATAATGAAGCCTGTAACACCGCAAAAATTATTCAAGTTTGGTTTGAGGAACATGAAAAAGAGTTCAAGGAATTGCCCTGGCTTCCAAATTCCCATGATCTCAATCCGATTGAGCATCTGCGGGATGTCCTGGAACAACAAATCCAATTCACGGAGGCCCCACTTCGCACCTTGCAGGACTTAAATCTGCTGTTAATGTATTGGTACCAGATACCAGAGGACACATCAGAGCTGTTTTGACAGCACATGGTGGACCAACTTGATATTTGGCAGGTGGAGTTTTACTGTTGTGAAAAAAGTGTGTGTGTGTGTGTGTGTGTGTATGTATGTATCTATCTATCTACATATATATCTATTTATGTATTTATATTATCAAAGGTAAGCTCTATCTTCCCTGTAAAATATTAATTAAAATATTAAAGTACATAAAATATGTGAATGCATTAAATACAAAATAAGGAAATTACAGTTGAACACTAAGCAAAGATTTCAATTGGGCCAGCTTGTAAAACTCTATGATATTAATAAATAAAACAGTTCAGAAAGGTTTAAACAAGAGAGATCATCATCAGGTCAAATCTGTTTTGTATTGATTGTTTCCAAATGAAGCTACCAGTTTGAATAAAACTATGATATGATGTTATTTTTTTTTTATTATTTCTCAACAGAAGTGAAAAAATTACAGAATCAGAAATCTCGTGGACGGTGCAAGCACCAATTTACTTCCAATACAAAGTCATAGAAAGTCAGAACCTATTAGATCCCTGTAATATGACACTTCTCTATGGCCATATATCAGATCCCCAAGAGCTAGAAGTTTACAAAAAAAATCCACAAAAACGATTTATTGTAATAGATGTAAATGTTGATGAATTATATGGCTCTAAAGTCAGAGAGTATTTAGAGGCCAACAATGTCACTTTTAAAATTCTTGCCCTTTCAACCACAGAGGAAACCAAGTCTATGAATCTGGTTCTGAAAATACTAGAGGGAGTTCACGAGTTTGGCCTTGATAGACGGACAGAGCCAATCATTGCCATTGGAGGAGGTGTATGTTTAGATATTGTAGGTCTAGCATCATCCCTTTATCGGAGACGCACTCCATACATCCGAATTCCCACCACACTCTTGTCTTATGTTGATGCAAGTGTTGGAGCCAAAAATGGGGTCAATTTCTGTAACTGCAAAAACAAAATCGGGAGCTACACTCCTCCTGCGGCAACTTTACTGGACCGCTCGTTTCTCAAAACAATTCCACGGCGTCACATCTCTAATGGCCTTGGAGAAATTTTAAAGGTATATCTACAGTTTAAACCATTACATGGTCCTTAAAATGTGATAATTAGTAATATTTTGTTATTCAACTCAAAGAAACAGCTTCCATGAACAATTACAGATTTTGATAAATTAGAAAGGTGAGGTTACTATAAAATGTATATATAAGTTTGAATAAAATCCATAGAATAAAAAAAAATACTAAAAAAATGTCTTTGCAAGGGTTGGGTAGCAGTAATATCTATTAAAGGGATACTTAAACCTGAAGCTGTCCAATCAAAAAATATAAAAAAATAAAAACAAGATGCCTTACGAGTTCCAGCAAATGTCTCAATTTTCTCTTACAGCTTCCTTTATCTAATGTGGCTTCATTCATAATTTTTTTCATGAATTGAGATGCCCGACCATGCATGCACACTGTGGTTGTTTGAACTTTCTCATAAAAAACTATATAAAGGCCCAGTGGCGGATCCAGAGCCTGATCTCGGGAGGGGCATTTGTAGATTATTTAAAGAAATAATCCATACACAATAACCACTACAGCAATGTGTGAGGGGTGCAGAGTGTGCGTGGGGCAATGTGTGTATGGGGGAGGCTGTGTATGTGTGTGTAGGGCAGTATGTGTATGGGTGCAGTGTATGTTTGTGTGGGGCAGAGTATGTGTGTGTTGGGCAGTGTGTGAATGTGTACGGTGTGTGGGGGCAGTGTGTGTATGGGGGGCAGTGTGTGTATAGTGTGTGGGGGGGCGTGTATGGGGGGCAGGTGCATGTGTCTGTGTGGGCAGTGTGTGTGTATGGGGGGGGCAGTGTATGTGTGTGTGTGTGTGTGTGTGTCAGTGTACAGTGTGTACGTGGGCAGGTATGTGTATGTGGGGGGCAGTGTATGTGTATGTGGGGGCAGTGTGTGTGTAGGCAGTGTGTATGGGGGCAGTGTATGTGTGTATGGGGGGGCAGTGTGTGAATGTGTATGGTGTGGGGAAAGTGTGTGTATGGGGGGCAGTGTATGTGTCTGTGTGGGCAGTGTGTGTATTGGGGGGGCAGTGTATGTGTGTGTGTGTGTGTGTCAGTGTATGCATGGGCAGTGTGTGTGGCAGTGTATGTGTATGTGGGGGCAGTGTGTGTATGGGGGCAGTGTATGTGTGTGCGTCAGTGTATGTGTGGGCAGTGTGTGTATGTGGCAGTGTATGTGTATGTGGGGATGTGTGTGAATGTGTATGGTGTGGGTGGAAGTGTGTGTATGGGGGCAGTGTATGTGTCTGTGTGGGCAGTGTGTGTATGGGGGCAGTGTATGTGTGTGCGTCAGTGTATGTGTGGGCAGTGTGTGTATGTGGCAGTGTATGTGTATGTGGGGGATGTGTGTGTGTATGGGTGCAGTGTATGTTTGTGTGGGGCAGTGTATGTGTGTGTGGGGCAGTGTGTGAATGTGTATGGTGTGTGGGGGCAGTGTGTGTATGGGGGCAGTGTATGAATGTGTATGGTGTATGGGGCGTGTATGGTGTGTGTGGGGACAGTGTGTGTATGGGGGCAGTGTGTGTGTGTGGGGGCAGTGTGTGTATGGGGGCAGTGTATGTGTGTATGGGGGGCAGTGTGTGAATGTGTATTGTGTGGGCAGAAGTGTGTGTATGGGGGGGCAGTGTATGTATGGGGGCAGTGTATGTGTGTGTGTGTCAGTGTATGTGTGGGCAGTGTGTGTATGTGGCAGTGTATGTGTATGTGAGGGCAGTGTATGTGTGTGGGGGCAGTGTGTATATGGGTGCAGTGTATGTTTTGTGGAGGGCAATGTGTGTAGGGGGGGCAGTGTGTGAATGTGTGGTGAGGAGAGTAGGGAGGCTTTTTTATAAAAAATGTTTTAATAAAAATATACTTTATGTCGCTCCTTCCCTTCTTACCTTTACTGAGGGAGTTGGGGGGGACATTTCTCCATCCCTGGTGGTCCAGTGGGGAATCCCTGGTGGTCGCAGTGGTGAGAGTGAACTCTAGCCCACATTTTCTTGCGAGATCTCGAGCGTTGCTGTGGTAACCGCTGCATTGCTCCGTGCTCACAAGAGAAAGACCTGGAGGAGCTGCAGGCTGAGCTCCTTGGTCCTCTCTCCCTTCCTCCCTTGTCGGCTGCCAGAACTGTGCCTGCTGACCAGGGAGAGAGATCTCTGATCTCCCCTCTGGTCTGTGAAGGCACATTGCAGGGCTGGCGCTTGGACAGTGCCAGCCCTTCATTATCCGGAAGAGGAGAGCCTCGGAGGGTGGGGCAATTGCCCCATTGCCCCCTTGATCCACCAGTGGAAGGGCCAGTTAAGCCATGCAGTGATAATGTCACTGTTGAAATTGAGAAATAAAACTCTTTAAAGAAACAAATGATATTTGGGTTAGGCATGTACATGGATATATTTTTAGAAAAAAAAACCTGTATGAAAATAGTGCAGTGAACAGTGACCCAAACATGGCACATATAATATAGTGAAAACTAATTTTAAAACCTCTTGAAGAAATAAGCCAAACATAAAAATAGAATACGATTATGAATTAAAGGTATACCATATTTAATAGAAAATGTTCCATGATCTGTAGTAGGCTTTTGCATGGTGGAAAAATTGAGTTTGGCCAAATCGCTTCTGCCGAAATAGAATATGTTTCAGGATAGTCGAATTTTAGCCATATGGTGGTTAGGTTAGGTAATATTTTGTTAATGAATAAAGGTTACAATAAACAAATCAAACAAACCAAAATGCATTGAAATGGGCCATTCAGTGTACTGAAAAACATATTATGTATATGTCTATATTTTGCAGGACACTGATGGGCGCCTTTTCCTGTCATTTGGTTCTTTAGCGCCAAGGGTGGAATTCTGAATTACGAATCAAAACGAACATGCACCACTGCATGTTTTATTTGGTTCATGATTCAGGTGCATTACAGCTCATCAGGAATTCAAAAATCACCTAGTCAGCCAAAATAAGGACAAAATGCATTTCGTAACGAAATGCATCTCTAAGTCTAGTCTAACGTAGATCATGTTGCAACATTCCCAAAAGTTAGTCAATTGTTCAGTTTTCTGAGTTAGGCAAAAATCCCATTCAGCTATAGTTACACCTTGGCTATTAAAGTCCAATTTTTGCAATTTGGTTTTCAATTTACTACAATTCGGGATTTAGTGAATAAACCCTACACTTCTGGTTTTGAAATTTACCAATTGTTGGCACATCAACAGACTGTAAATGTAGGCAATCCATTGGAAAACATTGTTTAACTAGAACTGCGGTTAACATTTATTCACACAACTAATAAACAAATTAACTAATAAAATATATTTTTTCAGATGGCCTTAATGAAACACAAAGGCCTGTTTGAGCTGCTGGAAAGCCATGGAAAATATCTCTTGGATACAAAATTTCAGTCTAAAAATGGTCTCACAAGTCACAGGGATGCCGCACTCACAGCCATGCGTTTAGCGATTCAAACCATGCTTGAAGAACTGGCACCAAATCTTTGGGAGGACGACCTTGATCGCCTGGTGGATTATGGGCATGTCATAAGTCCTGAACTGGAAATGGTATGTTCAAATTGTTCAAATTGACTAATTATAACTAAATGTATAAATTCCATGAAATAAACCGAGTGGTACCCAGTTCTCTCAAGAGCTGGTAATTTTTTTAATCAACATTCCATAATTATCATCTAGAAATTTAAAGTAAATTCAACTGCAATCAACAGGACAATAAACTTTACAGGATTAGATAATACTTCATACTTATTACTAATAACCAAAAGTGGTTTGTGATTGTTGAGACGTATGTTTGTTTGCCGTACCATAATTAATGTGGGTGGGGGGGGGTTAATGACCTAGTATGAGTAATCTGAGTGCCCTTGATATTAAGCAATGGCCAATTAACCCCTTAAGGACCAAACTTCTGGAATAAAAGGGAATCACATGTCATGTGTCCTTAAGGGGTGAAAGAAATGATTGACCTCATCAAATATAATACTACATATAGTTGCCATAAGGCTATATTTGAAATTTCCATTCCGTTTCATAATAGTTATATCCATGCACCTTGCACAGAAGGATGCTTTTATTTCACACATTTCACACAAAAAACAACTGAATTTATTGAAGATATGATGATGTCTACTTATTAAACAGGTTATTTTAAAATGTTAATATATTAGATGACCTTCTTTTTTATTTAAATCTATGTGTCTTTTTAATCTGTGATAATTCTCTTTACGATATAGAAAGTGTTACCAGCGCTGATGCATGGCGAAGCCGTGAATATTGACATGGCGTTCATGACATATGTATCATTAGAAAAAGGGCTTCTTACACCACAGGAAAAGGATCGCACACTCCAATGTATGAGAGGCTTGGAACTGCCAGTTTGGCACAAGGATTGCTCTCTACAGCTTGTCACCAAAGCTTTGAGTGAAAGATTCAAACACAGTGGTGGATTATGGCGCCTCCCTCTTCCTACTGGCCTTGGGGTTGCAGGTATAGTATATATTTACAGGGATACTACTAGGCTGCAAAAAGACCAGGTGGTTTCAGCCCATGAGTACTTGTATACCTCCTCCCACATATATTGATTTAAGCCACCCCAAAGCCAGCCCTACACAATGCCCACATTAACATTGATGTGTTCTATAAATCATATTGTGACACCAAATCTTTGAATAAATTCTGAGTATTTTGTAGAGCTAAATATAAAAAATCCAAGCCTTCTGTATTAACATATCATGCTGCATTAACCCCAAACCTGCACCTCCCTACACTATATTAGAACTCTGTACCCAGAGTGATACAGCCATATAGTGATCTATAATATACTCCAAATATAGGACATTAAAGTGGTACTATAGCACATTATCTAACTGAAAGCGTTACTAGCCTCTCAATATAACATGGGGCTTAGGGCTAACAATGAAAGGATGCCAAGATCAGAGCCAAGGCTGTTTGGCACGACCCGTAGAGCCCCTTATAAATGACATTGCTTTTACATTAACATCAACAAGATGGCCATCTGAGCATAGCCAGCCAGTGCTAAGTATTATGTCAATAATATCATGTTTGGCAACATTTAAACCTGCTACCATTATAAATTATTTCATACTGTCTTGGTTGTTGAGGTGTGGATTGTGCTAGAATTTAAAATAATATTTGTTATGTTGCTTTGGCCATAATAGAGAATTATAAGCATAGATTATTTTTTTCTATGACAACAATTTTGGCCAATTCTAAAATGTGTTTTCAGTCCTGAAATCTCCAGAATTTACAAAATCTTCTTGGAGTATAGTTGCTTAACTTTCACTTCATGCACCATGTGAATTAACATAAATAACAGGAACATAATAAAACGCATCCGATTCTAAATTCATAGGTAGTAAATATTCATTAGTGGCTGTAAATTTTCAGGGGAAAAGCTATGCCAAAAAGCATACTCTTCATGCATAAAAAAATTGCACAAATATTTCATGAGCCTTAAAAACCTACCATTGATTAGCTGCAGACCTAATCTCTGCAGTTTTTGATGATCCACCCCATTTTTGCCAAGCACTTACCTCCTCATTACTGCTGAGCATTTTCCAATCAAATGCTGCTTATCACCTTAAAGGACCACTATAGTGCCAGGAAAACATACTCGTTTTCCTGGCACTATAGTGCCCTGAGGCTGCCCCCACCCTCAGGGACCCCCTCCCGCCCGGCTCTGGAAGGGGGAAAGGGGTAAAAACTTACCTTTTTCCAGCGCTGGGCGGAGAGCTCTCTGCCTCCTCTCCTCCTCCGTTATGCCCCGCCGGCTGAATGCGCACGCGCGGCAAGAGCTGCGCGCGCATTCAGCCGGTCTCATAGGAAAGCATTTACAATGCTTTCCTATGGACGCTGGCGTGCTCTCACTGTGAAAATCACAGTGAGAAGCACGCAAGCGCCTCTAGCGGCTGTCAATGAGACAGCCACTAGAGGAAATAGAGGAAGGCTTAACCCATTCATAAACATAGCAGTTTCTCTGAAACTGCTATGTTTATTAAAAAATGGGTTAACCCTAGCTGGACCAGGCACCCAGACCACTTCATTAAGCTGAAGTGGTCTGGGTGCCTAGAGTGGTCCTTTAAGGACACATGATGGAAATATTCCGTCATGATTCCCTTTTATTTTTGAAGCTGTGCCCTTATGGGGTTATAGGCAAAGTATTGAGGACAAATCTCCACTCCAAAGTTTCTCAAAGACATGGAGTGTTTTACTGACATTTATTGATTCATGTTAAAAAACAACAACAATAAAAAAAAAAAAAAACATACTTTATTTCAAGTGCTGGTTTTTGGGTATGTAAATGTATGTTTCAACTCCCAATAGCTTTAGCTAGACTCTCATTGAGCATAATAGGTGTTTTAGTCCTGCAGTGATCAACATCAGTAAGATGAATTAATGATGATGCTTAAATCGCACATTTAGGAATAATGTCTATAAAATAATTTTTGTATTTACAGTTCAGACAAACTGGCCAAACCATTCATGCATTCTGAGAGACTGAATGAATGATCATTCTACTCATTAATGTTTCTTTAACACTGTATTCAGAATAGCAACATAGTAATTTAGTCATATATTAAGTACATGTTCCCTCTATTGCTGCTATTGATCCAACAAAGGAATTAAATATTTAATATATTTCTTCATGCCATTTTTCTAATTCTATATATTTCTTGCTTTTCAGAAATCTTCAATGATGTGTGTGAAGAAACTATGAAAAAAGCCTATCATATGTGGAAGGTAGAGTGCAGAGAATTATCATTCTAAAGAATTTGACTCCTTTAACTTCTGTGAATTCTGTAAAGGAAGTGCCTGGATTCCTTTTTAGCTATAAACCGTGTGCTTTGAGCATGTTTTTATCGAAGTCTTACCGAAAAAATTTACCATTTTTGTTGCACTGTAATGTAGAGTTAAAAGTGAAATGCGTTGTTACAAACCTAGTATTCTGTGTAATTAATGAGAGGTGGCCAAACAATCAATATCCCAAAAATCTATAGGAACAGATAAGGGGATAACCCTAGAAAAATTTGTTATAAAGAGAGGAAAAACAGGAACCTGTTCCAACTATTGCTGTCATGACATTCAGTTGAAATAAATAATAAATGGTTAAAAATCTAGAAGATACTTTATTAATTAAACCCAAAACACAATATGGGCACAAATAAACCTTGGCTATGACTGCTTGACTCAGTAAAAGAGTCAATTCCGGCAGTACAAGCAAAAGAGTGCTCAATAACATATTGTGTTTTGGGTTTAATTAATAAAGCATCTTCTAGATTTTTAACCATTTATTATTTATTTCAACTGAATGTCATGACAGCAATAGTTGGAACAGGTTCCTGTTTTTCCTCTCTTTATAACTAGTATTCTGTGTAGTTCTAAAAGTGCCGCGCCACATTCAGTACATGAACGATGGTATTTTTGTCTTTTAAAAATAGGCAAGTTGCCTTAGATCTGCATCTTTAAAAAAAAGTCTAGCAAGATTTTTGTGAACTTAAATTAAGAATGTTCTAAAATACATCACCATTAAAGTCTATGGCAATTTTTGGACATAAATCATTTGGAAAGCTTATTAAAGCGGGGGCCATAGTTTTTTTTATTAAACAATCACATTTCAAAAGCATTAAAACCATTATATAAATAGTCAAAATAATTTGTTATTGTGATCTTGTATTTTAAAATAATTACATATACCCACAGCCGTACTCTGAATGTGTTAAGCATATTAATACAATTTTCTGGTGGCACTGTTTGTGAGGTTTTTCACACTACTAATTTACTCTATGTGTTTACAGATTGCGTAGCAGAGAAGGGTGAAGTGAAGTTCTAAAACATTTTCTCTAATTGTAGATATCATTATATTCTGCAGCTCAAAAAAGCTGCAAATAAGCAATGTACCATACATACTGTTTAAATACATCTTTATATATTGAAAGTGAAATGGGGTTCTCTTATCGCACTGACACAGTATGTTCTTATGATGTTCACCCAGTATATTAAAAAAAAATGGTTGTATATGTTTAGATTAGTTTAATAGTATGTATATATGTTGTGTTTGTTTGTTTGTTTTTTGCTAATGACATATTTGTAGTGAATCATGAACTGAATAGCAAAATGTAGACAAAAATGTGGCTTTTGAAAAATTACTAAGGCAGATCTTGGCTATTTTAACTGAGATTTTGCATTCAGATTGGGTTGTGAGTAGGTGTCTTTCCTTGTTTTCCTGCCTCAAATCACCAAGATATTGCATTCAAAACTAGTGCCACTCTGAAGATTGGGAACAACAGTGTAGAGAATAAAATATTGTACCCTGTGGGTACTGTAACTATGTCTGGGTTTTTTGCCCAAGCATTCAGCTATAAAACTACTAGTAAAAAAAAAAAAAAAAAATCTTGATATTTCATAACGTGTTGGATTTATTTGTCTTGTGTTTAGTTGCAATAAAATAATAAAACAATGTTTTTTAAACATATGTATTTTATTTTATAAATTCTAGTAATAAATGAATTTTTTTTTTTATTGTTTTTTTTTGTCAGTCTGTTTTTTTTATTAAGGTAAGTAAAAGGACATGACATAATAGGGCCATCTATACTTTTAATAGGATCCCTGGGCAAAGCATTGTCTTGGGCACGTGGACATACTTACACAGGCATATACACTGACAGACCACTGACACATACACACAAAGACAGACATACTGACACACATATATTCACTGACAGACATATTGACACATTCACAGACATACTGACACACACAGACATACTAATACACACACTGACAGACATACTGACATGCACACATACACCGACATACACATATATACTGACAGACATATTGATACACAGGCAGACACACACACATACACACATACATACTGACACATACACTGACAGACATGCTGACTCATAGACATAGACTGACAGACATATTGGCACACACATATACAAACACACTAACATACATACTGACACAGGCACGTACACTGAAGACATACTGACACATACAGACATACTGACACACACACAGACATACTGACATACAAACACAACTGCTGACAGACATACTGACACACACCCATATACTGACAGACATACTGACACACACACAGACACGTACACTGTTACTGGGCCCAAGGCAGCTGTCCTGTTTGCCCTGCATTAAAGACAACCCTGAGCAGTAAGATATTAATGCATTGTACTGAGCAGTAAGATATTCACACATTGTACAAACACATTGACACACACACACATACAATGACAGACATGCTGACACACTCAGACACATACACTGACAGACATACTGACACACACACACACATATACTGACAGACATACTGACACAAAAACACACATTTACACACATGCAAACTTTACACTTTTAAACCATTTTCCTACATTGGAGGGTGGCTTCCTTGGTGTCCAGATTGGGGGCTGAGGCTGTAGGGGGATAGCGACTGTCTCTCCTATGCCAGCCCCCTTCCTCTCTGCCTCCTTGGTCTCTCTTATGCGGCTCTCTGAAGGAGGAAGTGGCTTGTGGCTGTCACTTCCTCCCAGACTGCCAAAAAGCAAGGGGCCCAAAAAGCGTGCAAACGGGCCCCTGGTTACAAATGCCCACTGAGTGGCCCTTACTACATGGGCCGCCCAGTGGACGTCCATGGGGAAGGGGCATAAATAGTTGAGGGCAGTGGGGCACACAGGGCAGCTGCTTTGGGTCTGCCAGGTGTTACAGTTATTCACGCATTGTACAAATTATCCTATATTATAAGTATGTTTTTTTTTTAAATATTTTGAAAAGCATTACCTAAAATCAAAGATGAAAATGCCAGATTACATATGAATTACCCCAAAAATATGTTTTTAGCTTAATGAAGCAGTTTTGGTGTATAAATCATTCCATTGCAGTCTCTGCCATTGTGGAGTTAAATCACTTGCTTATACAGCCTTCCTAAACACTTCTTGGAAAGGAACCTAGATGTTCTAGACTCCTCTGTTGCACAGTCTGCTCAGTCTATAAAGTCTTATCTTCAGCTCTGTTAATTGCAACCTAGACCCTGCAAGAGCCTCCTGTGTGTGATTAAAGTTCAGTTTTCAGAGCAGGAGATATAAATGACTAAAGCAGGTTGACATCTGATTAAAAATTAAACCGTTATTTTCATGTAGGCTGTGTGAGTCACAGCCAGGGGAGGTGTGGCTAAGGCTACATAAACAGAAACAAAAAGAGAATTGAGCAATGAAATTTCAAGGGCATGATCTATAAACTAAAACTGCTTCATTAACCTCTTAAGGACCAAACTTCTGGAATAAAAGGGAATCATGACATGTCACACGTGTCATGTGTCCTTAAGGGGTTAAGTTAAAATTGTTTTGATGCCTATAGTGTCCCTTAATGTTAAATGTTAAAACACATATGGGGTATAGTCAATAAACAATACTTTGTAGCATACTGAAAAAGAAATAGGAATTTCAGACTATAACAGCCAAAATGTGATTATAGCTGAGTTTGTTTATTTTCCAGATCAACTATATTGGCATCAGTCTTGCCAACATAATACAGTTTACTGGAGCACACATTATCAACCTCAAATAAATCATGTATTTTATGACAACTATGAGTGCTGGATTGTGCAGTAAATTATTGTCTAAATATTCATATATAAGATGCGGTATAAAGTTAATACATTTTTAAGTCCTGCGCTCACTCCCATTACTCCTGGGCGGCAGCAATGACCACAGTACACATCAGCCCCAATATATAGTTAAAAACCAAAGAAAAAAGTTACCTGCGCTCTCTCCTCAATCCCTATGTATATTTAGACAAATGGAGGCAAGGCAGACCCCCCTAAGCGGGTCCTACACTGACCCTTCACCTTGCTTCCTTGAGCTTCTGGCAAAGATATTTCCACTGAGACAGAGAGGGGTATTTTTTATATACACCCCTATATACTTATTAACCCTTAATAGGGAACACATGGGATGGGCGGCTGCATTGTAACAAGGCTGAGTGATACAAAGTAAATACAAATACAAAAAAAAATAAGTCCTGTGCTCACTCCCATCACTCCTGGGCGGCAGCAACAACAACAGTACACATCAGCCCCAATATATAGATTTAGAAGTGGGATTGATGGGATGAGGCCACCCAGAATTTTATATTTGATACCCAGACAGCTCAGTCTGCTTCTGTCAGGATTACTGTAGATGCCCAACACGCAGAACTTAAGTAGATGATAAGAAAATACCTAAGACGTATTACCGGGCCTTAGAATGGCCAGATTTAACATATAAAGGCAAAAGGACACAAGACGGGGTAAAGACAAGAGGGAGAAATAACGCAAACGATGCACAAGCCACAGGTCAAGGAATGTAGAAATCAGAATAGTTAGGAGCCAAAGGTCAAGGAATACAGAGATCGGATAGTCAAAAAGGGAAGCCAAGGTCAGATACACAAGAAATCAATACAATGAACGTGCTCTCGGATAACCAATATGGAAACCACAACAGGGCACCGAGAAATGGACAAACTAGGTTTAAATAGCTTAAGATGTTCCCTGATAGGCTGTAGGGAAACATGTGACCAAGCGTATGTGTAACACACCCATATAATTTTTAACGATCTGGCACTTTAAGGGTTAAAGAGCAAACCCTTACGTTAAACACAGTTGCAGCGGCCGGCGTCTTTAATGATATAGACCCAGATGCTGAGGGAGGAGTAGCCACCACTGGTGAGTGATTGGCGGCATTCCCTTTACCATGTTGGAATGCCACCGGATTGTGCCGTGCCCGCCGGGTATGAGCGAGCCCGACGGGCGAAGCCCTAACAGGTAGGAGATCGGCGGCATTACCCTTAGCGTGACAACTTCCAAGAACATGCTACCCAGCCACCATTAATTCCATTAATTTGTGAGATAGACAGCACTCAAATATGGGTTGAAGACCGTTCCGCGCCAATGACCCATTCTGCGAAACACAGAATTGCCAGCAGGAATGATGGCTAGAGATTTGATTGGTCTTCAGAAGAACATAAACCTGTGCTAAGGTTATAGACTAATTAACTTCCCAGGTCTCTCAATTCTATACAGCAGCTTGAAGTCTTCACAATGCCACAGGACCACCAGTGAGTGTAATGTTCCTCCTCACAGGCCATAGGTAAGAGGCAGTGAGGGGGAAATAAAATAAATATTTTTTTTTTAAATAAAAAAAAAAGCTTTTTGCCCACAGAATTCAGCTCATATCCTACCCCATATATTAACACACATACTGAATCCACTACACAACTACACAAACAAACACACTGCACAATGTACAGGTTTTATCGTGTTTTCAAAAGTTACAGCGTCAAATATAAGGCTTGCGTTTCATTTTTTCACATAAAAATTTGCCAGATTGGTTACGTTGCCTTTGAGACCCTATGGTAGCCCAAGAATGAAAATTACCCCTATGATGGCATACCATTTGCAATAGTAGACAACCCAAGGTATTGCAAACAGGGTATGTCCAGTCTTTTTTAGTAGCCACTTAGTCACAAACACTGGCCAAAATTGGCATTTTTTGCATTTTCACACACAAACAAATACTAACGCTAACTTTGGCCAGTGTTTGTGACCAAATGGCTACTAAAAAAGACTGGACATACCCCATTTGCAATACCTTGGGTTGTCTACTATTGCAAATGGTATGCCATTATGGGTGTAAATTTCATTCCTGGGCTACTATACAGTCTCAAAGGCAACGTAACCAATCTGGCGAATTTCAATTTCAAATGTAACGTGCTATATTTGATCCTGTAACTTCCCAAAACGCCATAAAACCTGTACATAGGGGGTACTGTCTTTACTGAATACAAATGTGTATTTTATTGCAGTAAAAGCAAAGAGTATTATGACATTGACCATTAAAATGTCATGTAGAACTAAAAAATTTTTTTAAAATTCGTATTTTCTCCCATTTTTTTCATATTAAATTATGTTTCATAGCTAAATATTTGATATTAAATGAAAGCCCTGTTTCCCCTGAATAAAATGATATATAATAAGGGTGGGTGCATTTACTATGAAAGAGGTGAATTACGGTTGGACAGACACGTAGCGCAAATGCCAGGTTTTGTTTACATTTTGTTTTGTTCACAACGTGTACATTTGGCTCAGTCCTTAAGGTTTTAAACAAAATAAAGATGTTATTATTTTCATATTGCACTATTGTTTGTCTATTTTTTTATTTTTTTTTAATCTGAGATCCAGTATAATGAATCTCAATAAATTTATGTAAGTATAAATATATTATTGAACTTAAGGGCAATAATATAAAATATTAACCTATTTGGTGTGGTTTATCTATTTTATTTGGTTTATAATTTTGTAGTCCACCTCTGCATTTTTTCAAGTGTCATAATATCCTTCTTCAGAACAGGTACTCAAAATAGCACAGCATATGCAAGGTG